AGAGAGAGAGAGAGAGAGAGAGAGAGAGAGAGAGAGAGAGAGAGAGAGGTGTTTCGTGGGCCTATTAGGGCATTGCCACACCACTTGAGAAATGTGCAAAATGTACAATGAACTTTCGGCTAAAGCATGGTCAGATGCACCCGCCACAATTTTCTCTTTTTCACATTTGGAGAGTGGTGTGACCATGAAAATGTACAGGTTGACGGCACGTGCGGCTCCCCACTAATAGATTGGAGCATTTTGTCAAAAAAAAAAAAAAAAAAAAAGAGTGGTGTGGTGATGCCCCTAGCCAACATCAGCTTCCGTGGAGACCGTGGGTTTTGCTACCCTACTCATTAAACCATTTGTCCCCCGCCACCCAAAAACCTGCCTTCGGTGAGTTAGGGCGAGGTTTTTTAAAAGGGCGGCGACTGAAATGGTCGCCGCGCCAATTCGGTGTATTTTCCATTTTTGCCACTCTTTGAGGGCTTGTTCTTCATGTTTATTTTTAAAGCCCTGTCATGTTCGGGAGGATGCTGACGTGTGGCTTTCTTTTCCATTTCTTCTTCCTCTAGCTCTCTGCATGGGCTTTGCCTGTATGGGGCTTTCTAGTCAACACGTTGTGATTTGGTCTATGTATGATGATTTCTAGGTCCCTCTGGACCGACATCCTGTTGACGGAGTAACCAATGAATGATGACATCCATGAATGAATGAGCAGCTGCTTGCCTTCATTCCAACGTTGGAACCGTCGTAGCGATAGTACTACGATAGTGTGACACGTGTTTTGTTACTACTGAATGGTTGCTTTGTCGAGTTAACAAACGTTCTCTTCTTATCGTTTTTTTTTTTTTTTTTTTTCATGATATAGGAGAGATGACAGGTGTGCGACAGAATGTGGGTTGCTTTCATTGCGGAGCTATGAATCATTGGGTACGTGACTACCTGCAATGCATGGGTGGGTACAGACTACCGGCGACGAGAGCTAATGCTGTTCCAACTGGGACTGCTATGCTGGCTTTACCCGCTCCGAATGAGGCTTCAGTTTCTGCGGCTCCGGCCTCAACGATACTCACCAGATTACTAGCACGTCGAATGCGGGATATCAGCAGCAGGCTAGACCTAGATGGTGGAAGGCTAATCAAGACCGTCTTGATAAGTGTTGGGGAAAGTACCTGGAGGACAAGCGAAATGCGGAAGAGGAAAGGGCAAAGAAGTTAAAAGAGGAGGAAGACCGCAAGTTGGAATGGAAACGAGAGAGGGAGCAATTCGAACTGGAGATGAGCACACGGCTTGATAAGAGATTGGAGCTGTTAGGGCTCACAACGAAGACTGCTACGACTGACAAGGGTTGCAACAACGAGGGGGATACGGAGGTGGCACGTCTTAGAATGGAAAATGAGATGCTTAGGAAGAGATTGGAAAAGGACAGTTGTTTACAGGGGGATGATAAGGTCGCGTGTTTACAACGCGAACTTGCGGAACTGCGGAGGCAGATAATGGCTAAGCAAACTGATAGTGATGAGATTTATGCACTGAAACAAGAGATTGAGGAGTTGAGGGGTACTGCATATGTGAAAACCAACTTCGAAACTGAAATCGTCGGGCTTCGAAGAGAGATAAGCATGCTGCGAGACCAGAGTATGCAAGCGGAGGAAGAAGCGATAACATGGAAGAACGAGGCACTACGACTAGGGAATAAGCGTGGGCATATTGCTGTCTCTACTCCTGAATGCTCAGGTCGGGGTGCTCTTAAACCACACTGGACTCATAACATTAGGCTGGCGGACAAGTGGAGGGAAGAACTTCGTAAGCTTCAAGGGAATCAGCAGGTGTTAGCATTTGAGGTGGCGATGCTGAAGGAAATACGGGCTGAGGCGGAGAAGAAGCGAATGAAAGTTGAGATGCAGGTTAAGAGCTTGCAAGAAAAGCTGAGTAAACTCACGGCTCCAGACGATGAGAAAGAACCAACGATGGGGGGGACTAATTTGAAAGAGCGCTTGAAGGCGGTGGCGATAAGATCAACTAGGAAAGGTAAGAAAGCTACTCCGGGAAGGGTTGGGCAAAAGACTGAAGATAGTCGCGACAAAGGTTTGAAAGTCAATGATCGTTACACCTTTATAGAGAATGAGAAAAAGAAGTTGCGTGGGTTGAAGAAATTGGGACTGAAGCCCTATTGCAAGGAAACAAGTATTAAACTCGAACAAGTGCATGAGACAATCAATGAGCTGGCAGAATACCGAGCCAATAAGGCGTTCGAAAAGGGGATTGAGAAAGGCAAGCGATCGGGAGCGGAAGGGGAGTGCTCTGTGCACGACATCGATGATGACGAGACACAGACCAGCGCCGACGGTCGAAAAGATGCTGACGAGAGGAGTGTGGAGCTCTAGGGGGACATCCCGAGCGTGACTTATCTTTGGTCGTTGACCAATGATTGTCGGGAAAAACGGTGTGGAGGTTTCTCTTTTTTCCATTCTTCTCATCGCGCGCCTGACAGTTTCTCTTCTTTTTCGGCTGTCGATGAACCCTTCTTCTCTGTTTCCTCTGTGTCCACGAATTTCTACTAGAGAGATAGAGAGTTCAACGCCTTTTTTCGTTTAATTGTGGTAAATTTAATAGTGAGTGGGAAAGTCTCTTGGGCTGAGAGACTTAAGGGGTATCTTCTTGAACGCTCGGTGGAGGGCTTCGACTTCGAGTTATGTGAGGGGCCTCTGGTATATAAACTTGTTTCGCCTTGGACGCACCATATGTATGTTGGGTCAACGACACAATCGTTACCCGTGAGATGGAATGAGCATGTTGGTCGAACTCTCAACCCGCAGGTGGTGAATGGGGGGGACAGGAGCGCAGAGGTTAGGCAGCGAAGTAGTATCATTGAGTTAACTCAGTTAATAGATACGGGCGCCTTGCTGTAAAAATAGTAGAGCAAAAATTTCAATTTGGGTTTTTTTGGTACCATATTTTGATCTGCCTCGACGTCGATTAGGAATTCCTTGTAAGTCTTTCACTCCTCGAATACAATGGTATTTTACACCAGGCAAATCTTTGACTCTACCTCCTCGAACCATAACAATAGAGTGCTCTTGTAAATTATGACCTTTTCCCGGAATGTATGCAATAACCTCATTTCGATTGGTTAATCTCACTTTAGCTATTTTGCGTCCCGGTCTGAAGCCACGTGAATAAGTGGAAAAGCGGGGTTCATAAATGCGGTGAAATAAGCTCGGGTCAATTCAACCACTAGTTTCCTAATGGCATCGGACTATATCTTCAACCAGAGAGATAGAATGGTTGCTGGGCATATAGCCTCTGAGGATCCTACTCGTTGTAATCAACGATTCCAAATATTCAACGTCATGACAATTGAATTACAACTTTGGTTTCCTGCTGATTGCCCCGAATCTTGGATTGTTCCTCAGTGTGAGAATTCGGAGGACCAAGATTCATAGGGGTTCCCAGCAAATAGCCCAGTGGTAAGAGACAACTTTACTACGAGTGGTTCCGACACGCACATAACAGACGCCGTATCATGTGGTATTTTTCCACTATTTTACGTCACTCTCTGGCCAGCAAAAGGTCGTTCTCCCGTATTTCCGGACATATATAAATAACTCCTTTATTTATTAAAATTCAATTTTATCAGTTCTTATCACTAAACTAAATTGCTTGATATTCGAAATTTTTCCACTAATCTTGTATTTGTTTGTAGTAGATATTTCGAAATTATCAAGCAGTTTCTTTTTATTTTATTATTGCGTATGCAATTCTTAAAATTCCAATAACCTAGATGAAATGGGTAAAACACACAAAAATTGGAACCAAATGTCTGGAGGAGTTAAAAAAGCTGCTAAACAAAGAAATTAAGATATCACATATTGATTCCGGATTCTTCTTCCTAGGTACCCAAATATCGCACGGCCGCCCGACTAAACATGCCAATAGTGACAAAAAGTAAACGTAACCATAAGATATATAGTTGGTTACGACGTTGTAGGGTTGGACAATACGTTGCTATTCCATTATTCTAGTGTGAAGAGAGGGATGTGTTGCAATTGGAGAAGTGTACGATTCAATGGTTGTGTCCGCACCTAAACAATAAGAAGAAAACGCGTAGAGGGAGGCAGAGGAGACAGGGGAAGAATGAGTGGAGGAGGAGGACTAATCGAGTTAGAAGTGTAAGCAGAATGAGTGGCAGCTAACGCATTTGGTTTTTCGTTCGACTGTTCGTGTGAATTCGCCTCGTTTGTCGGCTATTCTTGAAAAATGCTTGGCTGAATCGGTAGGAATTGTATGTAGTGGGGGGGATAAATTGGCGGAGGACTGAAAGCTTTTGAAACGAAAATTCGGGTCATCTGTAGTCCACTCCGATGGATTTATAGGACTATTGAAGAAAGGGAGAGGTATGTCAAGGCTGGGAGTTGTTATTTGATATTAACTATTGTCCCTTTCCGAGCGCTTGCACTGAAACCTTATCTCGCTGGTTTGTTGTCTAACCCATCTTCTCGAAAGGAGCTTTCTAAGTGGGATTTCTCGATCTTGGTTAGGGCTTTCTCGACTATCAGAAGTTTCTCCGATAAACGAAGTCGGTATCAGCTCCGTCTTATTGTCTCTGGGGCAATTAGGAGATGTTTCAATTTGAACATTCGAGAGCGGGTGGTGGTACGAGTGACTTATGACGAGGTCCTGAGTAAGCCAGGGATAAGATCGTTGTGTGCAAAATGGGTTATGTAGGCGGAGGTTGAGGATGAATGGAAGAGAATGGTTGTGCGAAGAATGAGAGTTGTATGGTTAAAAAATAAGACTGTTGGAGATGTCTTGTTTAACTTCAGAGCATTTGCTTCAAAAGAGGAGGTCTGTTGCACTTGCTGTCCCTCCTCATGGGTCTATCATGAATGTTGTCGACTGGTTGATCAATTTTTGGCAAATACAAGGGATTGAGGGAGTTTTGATTAAGAAACGACGAAAAGGGGCTAAGTTGTTGTGTGGGAAGAGGCAGGAGGGATGGCAGTTGGTTGACTTTGAGGCGGTTCGTTTTTTTTTTTAAGTTTGACTTCGAACACACATATATATCTGCATGTGGAAGGAGGCTGCAGCAGAGGGTAGGGATCCCTATGGGGAAACCGTCTAGTCCTACGGTCGCTTGTTTGCTGTGTGTTTTTTCAGAATTTTCTTTTCTATCCTCTTTGGGTAGTGATCATTATCTGGTGCACGGGGTGCGTCTGATTGTCGACGTTTCCCTTTTCGTGAGGTACCGATGTGGCGACGAGGAGTCACTGAGAAAGGCTAAGGAGATCATGAGGTGTTTTGAGGATTGTCATGATCGCAACATAACCTTGAAATGCACAGACAAATCGAGAAGCTGGGACTTCTTGGAATGCGTGGTCCGTGTTTATGATTGGCCGGTGGGTGTCAGATGTGCGGCGGTGCATAAGAACCAGAGAGTGGTTATGAAGAACGGGGTGTGTTTTCAGAACCTACAGGATGATTGCTCCTATGTCAGTAAAAGACAGAAGATGGCGGTGGTGGGATCCTTTCTGCATAGGGCAAAACGTTCCACCTCTATGCCAGCCGCAAAATTTGCGTTTTGTTTGCACTGAAAGTGGAATTGAGACTGAGGGGATTCGGGGATGAAATTTTTGACAGCGTCCTTGTAAATTTCTCCTCTAAGTTTGGTGGAATTTGGGATGATTGGGTTCGTTTTTTGACAAAGTGGGACAAATTTCTCCCGAGTGGACATGGTTCTTGGGGCTAAAGGCCCTATGCAGGCCCTGTGCAGGCCCTGTGCAGGTTGGGGGCACCCTTCTATGGAGTAGGTAGGGGGTACCCTTCTATGGAGTAGGTAGGGGGTACCCTTCCTTGGAGTAGTAGGCGCTACTAGGCGGGTAGCCTAGAATTTTCCGGTGCAGGGGCTCCTGCTGAGGCCATTGGCTTGGCCGTGCTATCGAGTCCTGGCAAGGACTTGGTTTCAATTTCTGGCTTTTTCCTTTGCGGTCTGTCTCGTGGTCCTTCTTCGGTCTGCGTCTTTTTATATTCAGCTAGCGATATGTCAGAAGTCACTCATCGTGACGTAGACCCCTGAGGAGTTCCGGTAACGGCGACTGGACGAAACATGTTGGGTCATCTGCCTCGCAACTTGGTCTCGGTTATTGACGATAGGAGCACGACGCTCACCTACGGTTCCAAGCTTTGAGGGCTTGTTCTTCATGTTTATTTTTAAAGCCCTGTCACGTTCGGGAGGATGTTAACGTGTCGCAGTGTGTTCTTTTCTCTTTCTTTTCCATTTCTTCTTCCTCTAGCTCTCTGCATGGGCTCTGTCTATATGGGGTTTTTTAGTCAACACGATGTGATTTGGTCTATGTATGATGATTTCTAGGTCCCTCTGGACTGACGTTTTGTTGACGGAGTAACCAATGAATGATGACATCCATGAATGATTGAGCAGTTGCTTGTCCAACGGAAAAAGCTGCGTAGCACGACGAACGTGTTTGCGCCCCTTCACGTTCGCACGAACGCGTTCTCGTGTTCGCGCAAACAGCTCGCAACCATGTTCGGGCGAACAAATTTGTTTTTCGCAAAAATAAATAAATAAATAAATAAATAAATAAATAAATAAATAAATATAAGTTTTCGGTTTTTGATTTTTAACTCATGATTGGCTACGAATTTGAACATGCTCCAAGGCAAAAGTTTTATGTATTGTTATTTTACATTACATATATTGTTTTCAGATTTTTCTGAGAACGTTGTGTTTTTTTTTTTTTTTTAATGTTCGTGTTTGGAGGATCTTGGGCGCTTGTTCGCGTTCACCTCCGAACGCAAACACGGTGCTACGTAGTGAAAAAGTATCCTAACTTCAGTGTTATTTTCATGATCAAAAGAATGTGTTAAAAATCATGAAAATTGGAGGGCCTATATATTAGGTCGTGATCTTTCCAGGAAAAATATTTTTTAAAAATTAAAAATCATTTCGACTGTCAAATAACCACTGCGCGGATTCGGCACTCTTTCCATTTTTTGATGCTATGCCATGTGCCGGCCAACAGAAAAGTCCTGCATGTTCCGTGATTTTTTGAGCTCATAAGAATAGAAGAAAAAATATAAAAAATTCAAAGTCCATAGATTTCGTTGTGATATTTTTAGGAAAAATATTTTAAAAAAAACTCAAAATCGTTTTGGAGGTAAAATGCATCACGATGGCGATTCGACACATTTTCCTTTTTTTTTTTTTTTTTTGTAAACAGAACCTCTTGGTTCTGGCTCCTACCATTCTGGGGAGTGACAGTCCGGTTCCTATTCCCCTAGCAATTTCTGCCATTCGACCGGTTTTCCACTCTGCAAGGTTAGGGTTTGAACTCAGACACATCCTGATGTACCAGCTGCCTGACACGGGATAAAACAAAAACGGTCCCCAAAATCACACAGGGACCCAATCTGCCTCAACAGTTATCTCATCAGGCAGATGGGTTTCCCAAATCTGTGCATGGGTTCAAACCCCAGCTACAATTGTCAGCAACGAACTTCAAAATATTAATATACATGTGTGGGTGGGTGTCCACCGTGGCGGGTCTCCTTTTTCTTTCTCTTCTCAATAAGTGAGACGACACGTAAAAATAAGAAAAAAAAAACGACAAAAAAAAAATAAAATACAGCCACGACGAGAACAAAAAAGAAACACAAAACAACACGCAAAAAAACAGAAAAACGAGAAATGAAAAAAAAACAAAAACGAAAGAAAAAGAAAGAAACTGCGACGAAACACAAAACGCTACAAATGAAAACAAAAGAAAAAGAAAGAAACCGCGACGAAACGCAAAACGCCAAAAGTGAAGAAAGAAACTGCGACGCGATGAGAACAAAAACGAAACACAAAACGACACGCAAAACAAAAACAAAAACAAACAAGAAATGGAAAAAAAAAAAAAAAANGGAAAAAAAAAAAAAAAAGGAAAGAAAAAGAAAGAAACCGCAACGAAACGCAAAACACCAAAAATGAAAACAAAAGAAAAAAAAAGAAACCGCGACAAAACGCAAAACTCCAAAAATGTAAAAAGAAACCGCGACGAAACACAAAACGCCAGAAATGAAAACAAAAGAAAAAGAAAGAAACCACGCCAAAAATGAAAACAAAAAAGAAATGTGAAACGACACGCAAAAACAAAACAAAACAAAAAAAATAAAAATGAAAAATGAAAACGAGAGAAAAAGAAAGAAAGGCCACCCGCATATTGGATGGCTCACCACCGATATGTACATCCGCATCGACGCCGGCCGTGTGCCCCGCCCCCAGGGCGCGCACCCACATTTAGTGGCACGCTGTGAACATTTTGGTACGTGCACCCCTCTGCACACTCCCCCGCCCTCGATCGCCTTCAGCCACCGCCCCTTACCAAAACTTAGACCGAAATCCGGCGCGCAGCGCGTCATTGACTTCCCCCCGTGGCGAAGGCTCCTTAAGGGATAGGATGTGGATGCGTGCTTCTCAGGGCATAAGTATAGAACGAAGTGTTGCTCCGTACCATAGTGTTTTAGTACATTTTTGCACATTGGGTAGTATGATACTTATGAATCATCAGTTCTTGAGGTTAGTAAGCGAGCGATAGTATCCAAAATCCACAACTTGGCTTTCTCTTGGCATACAAGTGGGAAATCTCTGTTCGACTTTTTAATTTGGGCTTGATCTTCTATACCTCAAGTCTGTGGGCGGTTGTCCACTGCAGCATTGCTCCCCACAGACATAGCCAGGGACGCTTGGGGACACCTTCCTGTGTCATGGAAACCATGGCAGATGGTGGGGTGAGCAGTTGTGACGTGGCAAGACGAATTGCGCTCTTAGCATTACGGTGGTGATTCAATCAGGTGGCACAGGTTGAGCACAGTGTCAGGAGGAGGAGGATACAGAGTGAGAAGGAGAGTGAATTGGAGAGGAGCAGGGTGGTGTTTACTGTGCGTGTGTGTCTCAAAATGGAGGGTGCTGGCAGGGGCCAGTGTTGTCCGAGCATTGTTCCTCGCCTTGGAGGCAAGTGGTGACTGCGGGCTCGTCCAAGATGCAAAGATGTGTACACACACTTGATGTATGCCACAGACGTGTTAGCAGAGGTTACATTCATGAAACACTTCCCCATGGCAAGGGATGTTTGAAAAGAACAGGGGAGACAACTGTGCAAATGGGTATGGTTGTGTTGTGCATGGCATGGATAAATCTGATCTGAAAGTGTTTAAAAAAAAACATTCTTGGGGTTTGACTAGATTTGGAGGTTTGCTCCTCGTCTTGGAGGCAAGTGGTGACAGCGGGCTCGTCCAAGATGCAAAGACGTGTACACAGTACTACACACACTTGACGTATGCCACAGACGTGTTAGCAGAGGTTACATTCATGAAACACTTCCCCATGGCAATGGATGTTTGAGAAAGAGCAGGGGAGACAACTGTGCAAATGGGTATGGTTGTATTGTGCATGGCATGGAGACCATTTTTGGGGTTTGACAACTTTTACTAGGATTCGGAGGCATGTAAGGAGGTTTGGTGGTGTTTGAAGTGGGTGGTGAGGAAAAAATATGAGATAATTGCATCGAAAAGTAAGGGGAGGGGGAAGGGCCGGGGGGATTCAGTCTTTGTGGTCATCCTTACCCCTCCACCTGGACACACAAATCTACTCATAGTCCAGTACCCTAAACGGCCACAAAGGGGCCCCAAACCCGCCAAACAAGAAAAAAAGCAAAAGTCAATTTTGCACACCCTGGCACCAGGGCCATCTGGCGGGTTATCCAGATCTGAGAGTGCGATCAGAGCGATCACAACTGCGTATGGAATCCTTCCAGCTAGCCCTGTAAAGTTTCAGACTTTGAGAATGCTATTGCCGAAGTTTACATTAGGCCATGTGCCCATCTTGTGACCCTGGTCCTGCTGCTGTTACTTCTGGTGCTGATCATCGTGAGGATCCCACATTGGTGCTATTGCAAGTACTCAGCAAGACACGTGATACCTTGCTGCAGTGACCCCAGAGACCGCTGCTGGCTGGAGCTATAGACATGCAGGCTTCAGGGGAGACAAGCTGTGCAAGTGGAGTGCATCGAGCCCTTGGGGAGTTGCTGCAGAAACCCCCTCATGGGCTAAGTCTGAAGTGACATGTGCAGCACCCTGTTCTTCTAGACTGCCCGTATTGCTGCTCTGGATCCATCTGCTCCTCCTTTAGCCAGTCTTGGTGAAGGAGGGAGGGTGGAGAGATAAGGAGAGGTGGAAGGGGCTCGGTGGCTAGCAGAGCGGCCGGTTCACCAGAGCTTAGCAGCCACAACTTTCTTGGTTGTTATGTTCAGGATAGTGCACCACTCTTGGCGGCACTTGGAGGCCTTGTGGCATTCCTGCTGCTGAGAGACACAGCCTCCTTAAGAGTGCCACGTGCAGTCTTTGCCGAGGAAACTCCCCACGTACTGTGTTCATGTCCACGAGATGTCGACCGACTGAGCATTGCCCGAACAGGTGATACTGGTCTTCGCAAGTCAGTGAGCGTGGTGGGTGGAGGACGAACTACCAGCTCTCCTCCTAGTACTCCTTCTTGCTGTACCACATGAATGCCATGATGACGATCATTGTGATGGTGGTGAGACGTGGTTTCTGTAGGCAATGGTGGAGATGGAAGAATGTCTAGTCTGAGTTCTGATAGTTGCAATATCCTCTCGATTGATCTCGGTGCGAGCTGCTCCAGCAACCGCTTCCCTTTCGTCAGCTTTTGATGTCTTACTGCTGCTGCGACCTTCTCCTCTGTTGGCGGGCATACACCCCCACAGGTTTGACATTGATGTGCACGTGGTCTGTCTGGGGAGATTGGCAACAACGCGCCCTCGCTGACGACTTCTCGCAGCATGTTGTTGACATCACCAAGCGATCCTCTGCTCCCTAAGTCCTCCAGTCTACCGGTTGCAGACATAGGCCTTCCCTGAGCCTGTCTCACAGCAGTCTGTGCCTTCATAACAGCTTCCATAGCTTCTTGATCACGCTCCTGTTCATCATCGTCATCCTCCTCCTCGTCCTCATCCTCAGGATCACCATCGTCAGCGGAAGCTTGGGTTTGACTGTACGCCTGATTCAGGGCATTCCGGATAGCCTCCTGAGGGCATGTGATAGCGGCGAATTGCTGCAAGGCTGAAGGATTAATGGAAGCAATGACTTCATCAGAGAATCCTGCAACTTCCTTTAACATGCTGCTCATGAAAGATTTTGCTCTCTCAAGCTCTCTCTTCACTGACCTGGAGGCTTTGACCAGGGGTTGTATGGACTCGTTGTGCTCTTCCACCAACTGCACTGCAGCTTGGTGGGTCGCCTGTGCCTCAGACAGCCGTTCATTGTTCTCCGATTCGACCCGGGCACACAATAGCATGTGCTCTAATCTGGCCTCCTCCATCCTCCGCTCATTAGCATCTCTGACAGACTCACACGCCATTTCCCACTCCTCTCTTGCGCGTGCCACTGTCTCCTTGTTCACACGCTCAATTTCCGACACACGACGCTGATATAACTCCCGTCGGATCTCCAGCATCCTGTTCTCGGCTTCAACTCTGGCTCTCTCTTTCTCCCAAGCCTCAGTGGCTGCTGCCAAAGCTGCCGCATTTTTATCATCCACTCTTCTGCACTCCTGTTCCCATGCCAGCTTTGCATCTGCTTCCCTTCTCTCTGTCTCTCTCTTCGCAACATCCACGTCTTCCCTATGCTTCCTCATCTCCGCTGCCACTGCTGCTTCGTAATCTCTCCACGCCTCTTGCATCTCCCTTTCCAGTTTTGCCTTGGCTTCTTCCCATTCCCTCCTCTGCCTCAAGTTGGCTTCCTTCACATTTTCCACTGCTTGCTGATGTGCCTTCTTTGCTTCTTCCTTCCTCTTCTCATTCTCCAATTTGGTATTCTCCACGTTCGTGAAGTGTTCCAGTCTTGCGCTCTCCATGGTCTTCTTGTTCCTCTCTTCAACATTGTGCATAGCCTCCGCATGCTCAGCTATGAGCGCTTGGTTGGTTTGCTGGACAAACATCACTGCCTCCTCATGTACCCTCCGAGCCTTAGCCAGTCTCTCTGCGTTCTCTTTCTTTACCACTTCAACTTTGAGTCCAAACTCTTTCCTTGCTGCAAGTTCCTTGGCTTTGTTTCGTTCCCTGATAGCTGTCTTCTCCTCCAAGTACTTCTGAACGCCAAACTTTACCCTGCGAGTGTTTTCTGTCATAATAGTTCGCCTCTCATCCTCCCACTTGTCCAGTTCTGCCTGCACCTCACCATTCCATGCTCTCACCTTTGCCAATGCTTCCTCATGTTGGCGCTTGGCTTCATCCCTCCTCCTCTCATTCACTTCCATCACCTCTTTTGTGCGGCTTTCGTGCTCAGCACGAGCTACAGCCGTTCTCCGTGCGTTCTCGTTACGAATTGCCTCCACTTTCCCCTCATGCTCCTCCCTGGCTTTTACTTCCAAGTCCACATTCGCGGCCTTCTTCACCTTGACCACCTTCTCCTCAAAGTTATTCCTCACAGTTTCCATGATCTCTGCGGCAGTCTGCTTCTTTCCCTGCTCTCGGTTCTCAACCTGTATCCGATGGAACTCGTCCTGGATCCAAGCCATCTCTGGGATCTCTCGCTGTTGCTTCACTCTCACACGCCATGAGTTGTTTAAATCACTGCAAGTTCCGCCTGTTAGAGCGGCCAGCTTTGCTAGAAACCGATCACCTGCTTTGGTAGAATACATGGCCACTACGTGAACAGGCAGTGTCCGCCCGAAAGTGGTCCGAAGAACTCGAATCATCTCCAAAACCTTCACCAGCCGAATGCGTACATCGATTTTCAACCCATGATTCCATTCGGTTTGTGTTGTGTGAATGCAGGGTAACATGTCATAGGAAAAGCACAACCAGCACTCAAAATGCCATATGAGCACAACGAAACAAACATGCAGGCAACAAAAGATACAAGATGGGCACAGCCAATCAGGCCATGGACACCCACATGTCAGCCAAGCACAGCCAATCAAACAGCACACAGGAGGCCAAAAAAATACAAAGTCAACTAGGCAACAAGCAAACTGTCGCACAGTCAAAGCCAGTAAGTCAGCACAAAAATGTAGCACGGCAGTGTCATACAGAGCACGCACTTAAAACACAGCAAATCCAACTTGGCAGGTTGTGAATTTTGGGGTTAACACAAATCACCATGACCAGCAGAATCGTACAGCGTGCACTTTAAACACGACAAATCCAACTTGACAGATTGTGAAAATTTGGGGTTAACAAGCCACCAAGCCCGCAGGTTGTTCATGGATGAAACAGCTCGGTGAAGGCATGGACAGACTGGCAGTGGATGGCTTACAATGGGTACCTGCACTTCACAGAACCGACGACATTCTTCTATGCATGACAATCACCATAGGGTCATTCCTTGTCAAAAGCGAATCAGCCTGTGGTAATGTTTGAATGAAAATCCGAATTAAAATTAATTGCAATGACAGTATTCTTGGTGTTTGTTCAGTGCCTGCCATCCTGTGGGCATTACACTGTGTCTGCTAGACACCCTTACATGCACCCCATCAAAGGCCTGAACCAATTCAACTTCGTGCAGTTCAGTTAGGACACAGTTGTTCCCTCCCTTAAAATGGGCTTGAAGGTCAGTTAACTGTCTCAAACTTTCTCATAGAGGGGTCTGTAAGGACTTCACAGGCAATGTCTTCACCCAAATACAACGAACAGGCATTGTAGATAGTAGACATTACCTACATGACAGTGTGAAGACATTCCCGATGAAGACACACTTGAAAGTATTTCGGGCATCTTTCCGTCTAGATATTAGATACAGCATTGATGACTGTGCGTTCTATTCATGTGATGACAGTAGTTTCCCTCTTCCGCCACTGCCTGTCTGAGCACCCTTCTGGCAAACAGCTCATTTTCGTGCCCTTCAAAACCTATGAGCTGTTTGCAGTCGTGTGATGGTCTTCGCTGCCCCCCCTCGACAATTATTAAACGTTAATCTCCCAGCCCAAGGAATCTGGAGGATTGCAGGACGATAATAGATATTAGATATGTGTAACGGATTGTTTATAATTCAGCCCAGACCCGTCCAGCTTAGCGTGCAAGGGTTTGTATTACTTTGTAACCAATTGTTATAAAGTCAGACCACACCTATTCATCTTTCTTCAGGAGTTCGTTCGCTGCTAGCCTGCTACACAATCAACGGGCAACACCTGACATCTTCCACTAACGTCCTATCACAGACTTCGAGTTCAGCCCATAACTGTTCAGTGTAGCATGCAAGGCTTTGTAACCTGTCTATCTATCTTCTCTTCTCTTCTCTTCTCTTCTCTTCTCTTCTCTTCTCCTCTCCTCTCCTCTCCTCTCCTCTCCTCTCCTCTCCTCTCCTCTCCTCTCTTCTCCTCTCCTCTCCTC